CTAACTTGTTCATGATGAGAACTTGAAGGAATAGTCTTATCAATCATGTAAGTTTGAATTTTTGGATTTATAATTGGCTGACCTAGCATTGTTCCTTCATCTCTTTGAGTCAATACTTTAATTATTTGCCCAACTTGAGTCTCTATCTTGGCTATAGATTGGGCATGGGAATGTACCAACTGAGTGGTGCACTTAAAATCATTAATTGCAGCCAAAACCTTCTCTTCAAATTCAGACGAGTACCTTAGAGGAGGAGGATCAGGATTAGCTTGGTTCCTAAATTGAGGAGGACAGTTGATGGAAGATTGATTGAAAAAATTATTTTGTAAAGGATTGGATGGATTGTGGTACTGTCCCTGAGATTAGGGAACAGTATTGCCTTGGCTTTGATTCTGCCATGATAAATTAGAATGATTTCTCCAGCTAGGGTTATAAAAATTGGAATTTGGATTGTAACCCGAACAGGAGAATGCAGCATTGGTTTCCTTGTGGATTTTCACAAAAGTGACCCAAGAAAGGACAACTATTAGCATAATGAGATGGATTAGCATAGATAGAACACACCTCTTTTGGCAAAAAGGAATGCTGAGAAGAACTAATAGTACCAATAGCTGACAAAACTTAGTCAAAATTTTGATTCAACACTTCCATTTGAGTGGTAAGCTCTCTAGATTTTTCTGATTCATACAAACTTTCAACTTGATGGATACCAGGAGTGGACCTAAACCTAGAGGAAGAAGCATATTAAACAGAATTTTCACTTAGGGTCTCAAACAGTTCCCAAGCATCATCTGGGCTCTTATGCAGAAAACCACCATTACTAGAAGCGTCTACCATGTTCCTATGTGGATCATGTAATCCATCACAGAAGATTTGCACCAAATGCCATTTAGGAATATCATGGTGTTGACACTTTCTCAGAAGATCATTGTATCTCTCCCAAGTATCATAAAGTTGTTCACCCGGGATTTGGGAGAACGCCATGATTTCTCTTCTTATTTGTGTGGTTTTACCCATAGTGTAATATTTTTTTAAAAACTTTTGTTGCAACTTATCCCATGTGCTTATGGAATTATGAGGTAGGGAGTGCAACCAAGTTCTAGCTTTATCCTTGAGCGAAAATTGGAAGAGTCTCATCCTAAAAGCATCATCAGAAAGAATGGACAACTTGGTAGTTGAACACAATTCTACAAATTCATCTATGTGCTTATAAGGATCTTTAGTAGCAAACCCATAGAAAGTTGGAAGCATTTGGATCATAGCTGGCTTGATCTCAAAGTGGGTTGCATAAGTTTATGGAAATTGAAAGCAACAATGGGATGTATATAAGGTGGGAATGAAGTGATCCCTCAATTGTGCCCTATTTAGATTATCACCATTATTAGCCATGTCTGATTTAAAGAATTCTCTTAACAATTTTAGCTAACTCCAATGGTAACAAGTAGTAACAAAAAGAAAATTTTCAAGTGAAGAAAAACAACAAAAACTCACAAAAGGTCATGAAACCGAAGCTTCTATTCCTTAGGCGTCTTCGTCCTCGCTACTAGATTCCTGCACTTGAAAAGAAAAAGAAATAAGGTGAGATATCAGAAAGTCCTAAAACTATAAAATAAATTAGAATTAATCTCGAGCTCAACAAATCCATGACACAGTCCCCGGCAAAGGCACCAAAAATTGATGTGTTTTTATTTATCAATAATAAAATACCACTCGCAATAGAACGAATCATTATAGGATAAGGCTATGTTGAGGGTGTCGAACCTTAAGGATTGTGGTGGTTTATTAAGTCTTCAATTAATAATATTTTAATTTAGAAAGATGAATTGATTTGTTGTGTTGTACTGTAATTTAATAACATAAAAGAAAATAGACAAAAGAAATGGATTAAGATCAAGAGATAGAAATACTTAGGGATTGACTTCACCACGAACCTCATACTATGGTCAACTGTTCAACCTTGGAATTTCAACAGTTATGTATAATATGGAATTAAACTCAAAAACATTCATTCAATTCAAATTAAAGAAAGATGTTTTATGAATTTCTGTTAATAATAATCTATCTTTGGTTGGCATGAATTATCTACCTACCTACTTCTAACTAATTTTGCAGTATAACTCGTCTTCCCTAGGCATAAACTATGAAAACATTTATTCACAAAAAATGTTTGAACACCATTGCATAATCTCCATTCTTATGTCTAACAGGATTCCGCCATTTATCGTCCAATAAGAATGGATTGAGAATAATTTATGAGCAGTTATATCTAAGATGAGGTAATAACTAGTCAAAACTATTAATTCATTAAACACCAATTGAGTTGGCTCATTTGCCTATAATCATGCAATCAAAATACATAATATATTAAATTCTCAAAGTACAGAACAATCAAACCATAGTATTCGGATTCGGGCTACATCAATGCCCTAAGAGAGGAATTAACTACTTATGACGACGCAAGATATCATCTGTGTTGTTGTGGTCTTCATCACCATGGACCGCTAAAAGTCCTTTTGAATCTTATTCTTCAAAACCCTAAAAGCCGCCGTAAGAGAGAGATGAGAGAGAGAGCTAATGGATGATAGATTATGTGGCCTTCTCATCTTCTTTTATAGTGGAGAACAAGTGGGATTGGTTTTATTGCTTTTGGTAACAATTGGGCCTATAACGAAATAAAGAAATATGATTTTTGGTAATTACCGCATGTATTTACGACTTCCAGGACGTCCAGCCTCGAGCTTTAGAGTCCCAGGCTCGAGCTTTGAGGTTCAGGCTCGAGCTTTTGGGTTCAGGCTTGAGCATCACTTGCCAGCAAATCATTTCGACTTTGTAATGCAATTTTGACCTATTTAGAGTATGAATCTCGAGATGGCTATTAGCGATAAAAATGTCAGGCTTCAAGTCTTCTTTCCAGAACCACTAAATTTGGTCAATTTAGAATTCTGAGTCAAAAGTTATGGCCAAAATATTGAAGCAGGTTTAGAGTTTTCAGCACTGCTCGAGCCCGAAGTGGTGGTGCTCGAGCTTTCTAATTCGGGCTCAAGCCTTAAAGCTCGAGCTCTGGGAGCAAAAATTGTCCAAAACATCCTTTTATTGATGGTGCTTGATCCTCTTTTCATGGTGCTCGATCCTAAGGTGTTGGGCTTGAGCTTTGGGCCTATGGGCTCGAGCTCTAGGTGTTAGTGCTCGATCCCTGAGGTCTGGCACGAAGTCTCGGAGCTTGGAAATCAATTCCTTCAAAGTTCAATGCCTTGTGCTCGAGCTTAAGGGTCAAGGCTTGAACACCCTATGGTCAGGCTCGATCACCTTTTATTCAGGGTCGAGCCTAAAGGTGCACAGCTCGAGTTTCACTGCCTTGTTAGGCTCGAGCCTCAAGACTTGGGCTTGAGCTTGAGCTTTGGATTCTAAATTCTTCCAAACTTCACCATTTAATCTCTTGGCTTGCTCTGAATGACTGGCAATGACGTGGTAAACTTCATTATCATTCTTTTTATCATAAAAGCCCGGTTTTAACTGCTTCTTTGGGAAAACACCTAAAAATACAAAATACACAGAAATTAGTTTAACAATGGATAGAAGTATTACTTTAGGTCTTAACATACATATATTTAGGGGCTCGAATATGCAATATTCAGCGCTCATCAGTATATACCTTGCTCATTTGTGATCTACATGCCAAAGATGTTGAATGTCTTGTTTCCTCACCATCTGAAGATTGTTGCCTCTGGCATAGACGACTAGGTCATGCTAGCATGGACCTACTGTCAAGATTATCTATAAACGACTTAGTCAAAGGCCTCCTAAAGACTAAGTACACAAAAGATAAAACTTTCAGTTCATGTCAAGGTGGAAAACAAGTCAAAACATCTTTCAAAAGTAAAAAGGATATCACCTCATCTAGACCTCTCAACCTAATTCATATGGACTTGTCCGGTCCAGAAAGAATTACCAGTCTAGGCAATAAATTTTATGCATTTGTTATTGTCGATGACTTCTCACGATATACCTGGGTGTTCTTCCTTTCTCATAAAAATGAAACTCACTTAATCTTTTCTAAATTTTTTAAAAGGGTAGAAAATGAAAGAGAATGCAAGATCGAGAAAATTCGTAGTGACAAAGGAAGAGAATTTTAAAATCAAGATGTTGAGAGATTCTGTGATTCTAATGATATAATCACAACCTTTCAGCTCATAGATCTCCCCAACAAAATGGTGTTGTTGAAAGAAAAAATAGATCTCTTCAAGAAAAGGCTAGAACCATGTTAAATGAACATAATTTTCCCAAATCCCTTTAGGCAGATGCCGTTAGTACTTCTTCCTATGTCATCAATAGGGTTATTATTCGAAAACTTCTAAATAAACTCCTTAAGAAGTTTGGAATAATCGAAAACTCAATATTAGCTATTTCAAAGTTTTTGGGTGCAAATGTTTTGTGTTAAATGACAAAGACAGCTTAGGAAAATTTAATTCTAAATCTGATGAAGGTATCTTTCTTGGCTATTCTTCACAAAGCAAAGCATATCGAGTTTACAATAAAAAAAAACCTTAGTTATTGTTGAATCTATTCATGTTGTATTTGATGAATCATTCCCTCTGCACAAAGAATCTTGCTGGATGATTTTCAAGATATTGATCTTGAGCAATGTATCGATGAACTCAAAATAAACCAGTCTCCTATCGATAATTCTCCAGACAACATCTCAAGTAACAATATCTCTCCAGAAGACACTCTTCCCAAAGAATGGAAATTTGTGCAAAAACATCCAATTGATCAAATCATTGGTGATCCATCAAAAGGGATTGTAACTAGGTCTCAATTGAGAAATGTATGCAATTATGTAGCCTTTGTTTCACAAATTGAACCTAAGAATATTCTTGAAGCGAAACATGATCAGTTCTGGTTATTGGCTATGGAGGAAGAACTAAATCAATTTAAAAGGAATCAAGTTTGGCATTTAGTTCCAAGGCCACATAATAAGACTGTCATTGGAAATAAATAGGTTTTTAGAAACAAAATGGACGAACATGGAATTATTGTTAAAAATAAAGCCAGGCTTGTTGCTCAAGGTTACAATCAAGAGGAAGGTATCGATTACGACGAAACTTTTGCTCCAGTTACTCGACTTGAAGCAATTAGAATGCTACTTGCCTTTGCATCCAATCCAAACTTTAAGCTGTATCAAATGGATGTCAAAAGTGCATTCTTGAATGGGTTCATTGATGAAGAAGTTCTTGTTGAACAACCACCCGATTTTGAAAGTCTTGAATATCCCAACCGCGTATATAAGCTAACCAAAGTTTTATACGGGTTAAAACAAGCTCTTAGAGCTTTGTCACGCCCCGAATTTTTTCTAAATAAAATCCTCAATTTCATTAAATCAAAATACTTCATAAAAGACACCTAGGATCTCAAAAGAAATAAAATACCCTCTATTGATACAAAATCAATCAAATTTTCTCAAATAAATAAGACAACATCTCAAATTAATTAAATTGATACTAAATCAATTTCCTCAAATAAATACATAAAAATCTCTAAATAAAATAATTTAATTCCTTAACACCAACTCTTCCACCTAAGTCCACTACTAGCAATCCAAGTTCATCCTCGGTATCTGAAACTATAGGGGGGTGAGACAGTAGGAAAAACCATAACAAGGATTTCAAGAAGTTTCATGCAAAATAATTTCACAAAAATATACATATTTATTTAAACAAAAATACGTATATGCAATTTAAATAAAAGAGCAATTATAAAATATTTGAAACAAATCATTTAAGCCATTCAAGGTATGATGATCCCTACACTGCAAAATAAATAAATCAACTCGGGATTATCAAGGCCACAATTCTCAGCATCCTTTGAGTCTCGGCCCTCTTTCTGTATCCTCACACTCTCTGTGTGTTTCCTCTATATTTCTCTATTTGTCTTCTCAAATTAACTCACCCATGAGGCACAAATTCCAAACTATATAATGGCTTTCCACCGACACAAAATAAATAAATAAATAAAATCTCAATATAGCTCACCATGAAATAAAATATCAAAACAATGATTAAATGCCATGGGCCCACCACCAATTTTCCCCTTTTCTTACTTTTCCTTATTCTTTCATTACACACACAATCAATTGTATACCAAACAGCCCAAGAAGTCAAAGAAATGAATTGGCAAACAAAAAAATCTCTTAATGGCCCGCCACCACATCACCATTTTCCATCTCAATTCCCTTTCTCAATCTCGCTGGCAGCACCATGTTGCCCCAAAATATATATATATATACATTTATATATATATATTATATGCAACAAATTAAAACATAAATCAAGTGGTGGACCCCACAAATTATCATTACAATTTTCCTTTCTCTATTCCTTCATTTTGCTGCTGCACCTCTCCTTTTCAATTTTCGGCACCTGGCCTTGTCCTTTTACTAGATACACAATATATATATATAAATCATATATATATAACACTAAATCAAAACTCATTTTGCTTCCTTTTCTCTTCATCATTTCGGTCAAACTACTCCATAACAAAACACCAATAAATATATCACATTTAGAAAGCAACAAAAAAAAAAAAAAAAAATCAAACTTTAAACCCATGTCAAACCATTCCAGTGGGACCTGTAACAACCAATTATTTCTCCTTCCATTTCGGCTGTGACATTCAGCCCAATTGCCTTTTTCTTCTGATGCCACATATATAAATATATATATACCATATATATATATATATATGTATGCAAATCAATAACCCAACCTTTAATTGATAAATCTCCAATTAAAATAATCAATCTCCATAACAAATCTCCAATGAATAAGCCTTAAATCATAATTAATCAAATTAATTATGACAACAAAAATCAAACCCATTAAATCATTTAAATGGGTAAATCATCAATTCAAAATTAAAGAGTCAATCTTGACAACTAAAATTCATAGAATAAAATATAAATTCAATTCTTAAAAAAAAATCTGAGTTGTCACATTCTCCACCACTTAAAAAAAATTTCGTCCCGAATTCAAATCCAACCATTTTCGCATACCCGAAAATCTCAAAAGTGGTAAAACAAAATCCAAAAATCCTTACCCCAGGCGATACGAGATACTGTGACATGCAAAACGTTGTGGTAGCTGATAGTGCTAGTTACCCGCCCACACATTCCGTAACCATTGTGGTAGCTAATCGATGCCGTCACCTGCCCACAAAATAAGACCAATAATAAAACAGGCAATACGACATGCCGAATCACAATTATTGACCATCCTAGTAGCTATCAGTGAACGACACCCGTCCACACACACCAGGCTACGAGCGGTAGCTAATCAGAACTAAACACTCACTCACACACACCCATCAAGAGCATCACCAAACTCACACTTCCGGCTGGGTATAGGCTCTGATACCATTCTGTCATGTCCTGAATTTTTTCTAAATAAAATTCTCGATTTCATTAAATCAAAATACTTCATAAAAGACATCTAAGATCTCAAAAGAAATAAAATACTCTTTATTGATACAAAATCAATCAAATTTTCTCGAATAAATAAGACAACATCTCAAATTAATTAAATTGATACTAAATCAATTTCCTTAAATAAATACATAAAAATCTCTAAATAAAATAATTTAATTCCTTAACACCAACTCTTCTACCTAAGCCCACTACTAGCAATCCAAGTTCATCCACGGTACCAGAAACTATAAGGGGGTAAGACCGTAGGAAAAATCATAACAAGGATTTCAAGAAGTTTCATGCAAAATAATTTCACAAAAATATACATATGCATTTAAACAAAAATACGTATATGCAATTTAAATAAAAGAGCAATTATAAAATATTTGAAACAAATCATTTAAGCCATTTAAGGTATGATGATCCCTAAACTGCAAAATAAATAAATCAACTCTGGATTATCAAGGCCACAATTCTCGACATCCTCTGAGTCTCGGCCCTCTTTCTGTATCCACACACTCTCTGTGTATTTCCTCTATATTTCTCTATTTTTCTTCTCAAATTAACTCACCCATGAGGCACAAAATCCAAACTATATAATGGCTTTCCACCGACACAAAAAATAAAAAATAAAAAATAAAAAAAAATAATAATCTCAATACAGCTCACCATGAAATAAAATATCAAAACAATGATTAAATGCCATGAACCCGCCACCAATTTTCTCCTTTTCTTACTTTTCTTTATTATTTCTTTACACATACAATCAATTGTATACCAAACAGCCCACGAAGTCAAAGAAATGAATTGCCAAACAAAAAAATCTCTTAATGGCCCGCCACCTCATCACCATTTTCCATCTCAATTCCCTTTCTCTTAATCTCGCTGGTAGCACCATGTTGCCCCAAAATATATATATATATATATATATATATATATATATATATTATATGCAACAAATTAAAACATAAATCAAGTGGTGGACCCCACAAATTATCATTACAATTTTCCTTTCTCTATTCTTTCATTTCGCTGCTGCACCTCTCCTTTTCAATTTTCGGCACCTGGCCTTGTCCTTTTATTAGATACACAATATATATATAAATCATATATATATAACACTAAATCAAAACTCATTTTGCATCCTTTTCTCTTCATCATTTCGGTCATTTTGCTTCCTTTTCTCTTCATCATTTCGGTCAAACTACTCCATAATAAAACACCAATAAATATATCACATTTAGAAAGCAATAAAAAAAAAAATCAAACTGTAAACCCATGTCAAACCATTCCAGTGGGACCCGTAACAACCAATTATTTCTCCTTCCATTTCGGCTGTGACATTCAGCCCAATTACCTTCTTCTGATGCCACATATATAAATATATATATGTATGCAAATCAATAACCCAACCTTTAATTGATAAATCTCCAATTAAAATAATCAATCTCCATAATAAATCTCCAATGAATAAGCCTTAAATCATAATTAATCAAATTAATTATGACAACAAAAATCAAACCCATTAAATCATTTAAGTGGGTAAATCATCAATTTAAAATTAAAGAGTCAGTCTTGACAACTAAAATTCATAGAATAAAATATAAATTCAATTCTTAAAAAAAAAATCCGGGTTGTCACAAACTTGGTATGAAAGATTGATTGATTTTTTAATTAAGAATGGATTTATTAGAGGCAAAATTGACAACACCTTCTTTACCAAAACCACTAATAAAAATTTGATAACTGTGTAGATTTAGGTAGATGATATCATTTTTGGCTCAACAGACGTGTCACTATGTAAGGAATTCGCTTCTATTATGGAAAATGTGTTTGAAATGAGAATGATGGTGGAGCTTAATTTTTTCTTACGCTTGCAAATCAAACAAACACTTGATGGCATTTTCGTTTGCTAATCTAAGTATGTAAAAGATTTGCTAAAGAAATATAGCCTAGAGGATGCCAAACATGCCAAAACACCCATGAGTCCATCCTTAAAACTTGACAAGGACAAAAAAGGTAAAGAAGTAGACATAAAGAAATATAGAGGAATGATTGGCAGTTTTCTTTACTTAACAGCCAGTAGACTTGACATTATGTTTAGTGTTTGCCTATGTGCTAGATTTCAATCTTGCCCAAAGGAATCCCATTTACTTGCAGTTAAACGCATCCTTAAATATCTATGCAATACAGTGAATTTTCGTCTCTGGTTTCCCTTTCACACCTCATTTGAACTAACTAGCTATTCAGATGTTGACTTTGCAGCTTGCAGAATTGATCGAAAAAGCACAAGTGGCACTTGTCACTTTCGGGGATACTCATTAGTGTCATGGTCCTGCAAAAAACAAAACTCCGTTGCACTATCTACAACTGAAGCAGAATACATTGTAGTAGGAAATAGTTGTGCTCAAACCTTATACATAAAACAGCAACTTGGGGATTTTAGACAAATTTTTGACAAGACTCCCATCAGATGTGACAACACCAGCACCATAAACATATTCAAAAATCCCATCCTGCATTCTAAAACCAAGCACATCGAGATTAGGCATCACTTTTTACGTGATTATATTAAAAAGGGGACATTGAGCTGATATTTATCAAAACAGAGGATCAACTAGATAATATCTTCACTAAACCACTTTCCAAAGATCGATTCTGTCAAATACGCAGGGAGCTAGGAATGATGGAAAGAAGGATCTGAAAATTTCAACATCTAACCGAGTAGATTGTCATCTGTGCGCACACATGACATTATCTAATCAATTAGATCAATGATCTAACCGACTAGATGAGAATTCTAGTGGAAAATTCCTTAACACTGCCACCTGAATAGATCAGGTATGTAACTAGTTAGTTAATCTTTTATTTTCTCATTAATTCATCTAACTGAGTAGATAAGCTAATCTAACCGATCATATTAGATCCAAATCTAATCTAACCGGTTAGATCACCCCATCTAATCGACTAGATTAGATCTAAATCTAATATAACCAATCAGATCACCTTATCTGATCGACTACATTAGGTCTAAATCTAATCTAACCGATTAGATCACTACATCTAATCGATTAGATGTCATATATATATATACACCGCACTATTCTCTCTCCTCATCTAACCATTCACATCTCTCACTCACTTTCTTTTCCCTCATCTCAAACTCGCCGCCGGCCACCTCTCTCCTCCATCTTTTTCGTTCACCATCTATCATCTCCTCACATGGCTCGCACAAACCTCAATTCTTCTCTTAGTTCCTCAAGAGGTCGAATCTCTCGTGCCCTAGGAGGAAGCAACCCCCGTCCATCTCAAAATGACGATGAAGAATATGATCCAACTTTGGATCTCCCTCCCTCCAAAAGGACAAGAACAACCCCTTCCAGAAATCCCTCATCTTCAACTCCTCCTAACCCATTTCCTCCCAGAACATATAGAAGATCATTTCAGTGATCAATATCGAAATCATGAAATTAAACATGGCCAAGTTTTTCCTGAAGATCTATGCACCACTAAGGCCTCACTTTCTTCCAAAAGTTCAAAGATCTTGGATGGGATTCATTCATATTCATCTCCGAATCTTTCTATCCAACCTTGCTCTGGGTATTCTACACCCAAATTCAGTTCAAAAATCATTCTCTTTGCTCTGATGTCAAAGGAGTCAAAATCACCTTCAACTATCAGTAGTTAAACGAAATCTTGGGTCTCACCAATGACGGCGAAATGTGTTTATTTCCACAAGGTTCGGGTTTAAGCTCCCGACTTCAATGAGGAAGATGTCATCCAATTTCTTTGTGGTAATCCCTCAACTCCAAAAATCTTTCCTATCATCACATCGGATCTTACTTTAGAGCACCACCTTATTCATAGTGCCATTTTTTACTGTATTTTGCCGCGTGGAAGCGGACGGACTCATGTGTCCCATTTTCATATATTCTTGATGTGGTGTTTGTCCACGGGATGAAAATTAAATCTTGGGTTCAACATCTTCAACCACATTCTTCAATTCATGAAACCCCCCACTTTCGCATCTTCCACTTCCACCCCCAAAACAAAAGTTGCTTCCCTTCTATAAGGAATGATGCTCACTCGCATCTTTAAGCACTTCAAAGTCCCTCCTGACTCTAAAATTGACAAAAAGGATGTCTCAGAGGAAGACAAATTTAGCCTCAAAATCTTGAAAAATATGAAGTTTGAAAAGGTAAATGGTGTCTGGGCTAGGGTTTCCTCTACATCCTCATCACAACAGCCTCTTTCCTCATCATAGCAGCCTCCTTCCTCCTCACAGCAGCC